AACAAGAAACAAAACGACCAACGATTCAGTTTTGTACAGTTTTTCTTATTTTCTCTTTGTTCTTCCAAATAAATTACATGGTACGATCTAATTTCACAGATAATAGTTGAAGAAAATAAAATAAAATTATTAAGATATATCTTCACAAGGAATAAAAAAGTTAAAAATACTATTCCAAGAAAATAAATGGTTATATAATGTATATATTTATATATGTTTTTCCTTGATCGATTTTGTTCGGTTTATTCAGTTTAATCGGTTATAAATCTAACCATATCCAAATCCTACGATTTTTATTAAATCATATCCATTCGGTTTATATGGTATATACCAAATCCAAATCATATTGTCTATTTCGGTTCGGTTCGATTATGTACGGTTCGGTATTATCATATTGAACAGCCCTACTCCCAACGAACCTGCAAGATCCAGATTCACCGAAATCATTATATTTTATTTTATTTTTCTTTGATCCGTGTGTGAACCTCTCCAGGAACCTTCAATACGGATGCTCTCTCGCTAAAAATGAAAGACTAGTTATTGCTACCGAACTTTATAGCAAGTTTAACATATTCAATATAACAAAAAGACGTAAAAGAAGTCGATATTAGTCAGCATAATAAATCATTGTTTCTAATGTTTAAAGGGTTAAGATGAAATAGATGAAGATATAACAAAGGCTACTTGTTTCTCTAGAAGGGTGGTCGTAATGATACTATAATACAAAAAAAAAACTGAATTGTTTTCATTTTAATTGGACCATGTAAATAAGCCAGATCAGAAACTTGAGTTAAATAATAAAAGCCACTTGTCTACCTTCTTGTAATATATTTTCATATAAATAAACGTCTTAACGTCCTACTTCTCACCAATCACACACTCCTCTCAAACACAGATAAACGAAAAAAAACACATTCCAATAATAACTTAAAGATTTCAAGAAAAATGGGATCAACGGCGGAGACACAGATAACTCCGGTACAAGTCACCGACGACGAAGCCGCACTCTTTGCCATGCAGCTAGCCAGCGCCTCCGTTCTTCCGATGGTTTTAAAGTCCGCGCTAGACCTTGATCTTCTCGAGATCATGGCCAAGAACTCTTCTCCGATGTCTCCGTCTGAGATTGCTTCTAAACTTCAGACCAAAAACCCCGAAGCTCCGGTCATGCTCGACCGAATCCTCCGTCTTCTCACGTCTTACTCAATCCTCACCTGCTCCAACCGTACTATTCCCGGCGGCGACGCCGTGGAGAGGATATACGGGCTTGGTCCTGTCTGCAAGTACTTGACCAAGAACGAAGATGGTGTCTCGCTAGCTGCTCTTTGTCTTATGAACCAAGACAAGGTTCTCATGGAAAGCTGGTAAGTTTTTTTCGATATTACCAAGAAAGATTATCATGATTTTTTAATAGATCTTGTGCTAAATCAAATTAGAGAAAGTTCTTTTATTTCCATTATCATAAGCTATGCTTCTTCGTTGATGTGATGATTAAAAATTTTAAATGCAATTGTGCAAAGGTAGAGGTGAGAGTGACTTGGCCACAAAGTGTCAATGACAATCAGACAAAATGATGGCGTGTTGACACGTTTTCTGTACCTAATGTCCACTAAAATTATATAAGTATTTTTAGTGGTTACGCGAGGTCTATAGTTTAAATTTTTGTTTGCTACTACCATACAAATAATAAAAAAAAGAATAATAAAAAAATAAATAATAATAATAATAATAATATTATACAAAAAAACACCACCCTGTTTTTTAGATGTTTCTTAGCTTTAATTATTTTGGCCTCAATCCAGAATTATTTTTGCAGAAAATACTGTATTATTATTTTTAGTTTGTGTTTCATGGTTTGGAAAGAGAAGATGTAATAATTTTTTATTTACAATTTAAGCAATTTGAATAGGAACAGAACAAGAAGAGAATCGGTCTTCCGGTTAATAATATCTCATTTTGTTCGAACCGGCTGATTCGAACCAGCAGCTATACATCATATTAACCAATTATAATCAGCCTGACGTGGATCTAGTCTGATCATAAGATAGATGTCTTCTTGAGATCAATCATAAAAAATGCTCCTAAATAATTAGTGAAAAACAAAAGTTGAACGGTTAGATTAGCTTAATGACTGCATGAATGTGTGTGTGTGTGTGTTTTACTTAAACTCATGCTAACGAGACTTGTTTCAGGTACCATTTGAAAGATGCAATTCTTGATGGTGGTATTCCATTCAACAAGGCTTATGGAATGAGCGCTTTTGAGTACCACGGGAAGGACCTAAGGTTCAACACGGTCTTCAACAATGGAATGTCTAACCACTCAACCATCACAATGAAGAAGATTCTCGAGACTTATAAGGGTTTTGAGGAATTGACTTCTTTGGTTGACGTTGGTGGTGGCATTGGTGCTACTCTCAAAATGATTGTCTCTAAGTACCCTAACCTTAAGGGCATCAACTTTGACCTCCCACATGTCATTGAAGAAGCTACTTCTCATCCCGGTATATTACATTTTTTCCTAACATTTCTTAAAGCAAAATTTGTGAGGTAATTGAGATATTGGCTTTATTTCTATAATTAATACAGGTATTGAACATGTTGGAGGAGATATGTTTGTAAGTGTCCCTAAAGGTGATGCCATTTTCATGAAGGTTAGTCATTACAGATTATAAACAATTCATCAAGAGGTGTCCAAAAAAAACATTTCGTTAAGGAAAATAAATCTGAAACGTTTTGATTTGTCTCATTGTTGTAACCAGTGGATATGTCACGACTGGAGCGATGAACACTGCGTGAAGTTCTTGAAGAACTGCTACGAGGCGCTTCCAGAGGATGGAAAAGTGATACTAGCAGAGTGTATACTTCCAGAGACACCAGACACAAGCCTCTCGACCAAACAAGTAGTCCATGTTGATTGCATTATGTTGGCTCACAATCCTGGAGGCAAAGAGAGGACCGAGAAAGAGTTCGAGGCATTAGCTAAAGCATCTGGCTTCAAAGGCATCAAAGTTGCCTGCAACGCTTTTGGTGTTTACATTATTGAACTGCTCAAAAAGATGTAAAACACACACGCACTATCCATATAATAATGATTTCATATGTAAACATTGCTCTCATGTCTACGTCTACTTAATTCACCCCCTTTGTTGTAAAACTATTATGTTTAAAAGTATGATTAATAATTAATCCCTTATATATTATTTATATATCATTTACAAAGTGATTTTGCCACATCATTTGTACAATCATTTTCACCAAAAAGAAAGTGACATGTCTAATAAAATTGATGATATGAATAATGACAAACTATGACATGAACAATTACATTTAGTATTTATTTATATTTTTGGTAAACTTTTTAAATATGGTAATAATGCATACTTTACATTTAATGTTCATATTTATTTATGGTAAAAAGTTTAAAATTTGGTAATAACTCATACATCATCTTTAAAATAAATATATTCAGATATAACAATATAAATTTGTGGAACCACCGTAGTCTAGTGGTTAAGGTTTTCAATTCCTGGAGAAGCTGAATGTCGAATTATGCAGATTGGAGAAAAAACTTACAAGAGATCTTCAGCAAGACGTACCGGTCTAACAGAACGGTTCATGGTGATGCAGTCAGACGTGAATCCGCATAAGGCATGTAGAATTGTCGGCTGTAATATTGTATATGTAATTTCTCATAGTTTGTAATGCATAATTATCCAGTGTAAGAAAAACAATATAAATTTTGAAATATTGTTCTATTTTATTTTTTATATTATTAAATTTGTATTATTAAAATTTTCAAAAATTACTACAATTTTTAAAAATATAAATTTCTAATCATAAAATCATTAGTTTCTTATTTATCTACAAATTTTGTAAATACTATTTAGTTTAAATTATTAGTTTCTTATATATCCACATGATATCTCTACAATCAGTTTCACAAAAAAATGTAGCATGCCTACTAAAATTGATAACATGACTTAAGGTAAAATATGACATGAATAATTACATTTAATATTAATTTATATTTTTGTTAAACTTTTTAAATATGGTAATAAAAAATACTTTACATTTAATGTTCATATTTATTTATGGTAAAAAAATTTAAAATATGGTAATAAATCATAAATAATCGTTAAATTAAATATATTAAAATATAACATTACAAATTTTGAACTATTATTCTATTTTATTTTTTATATTATACATTTTGTATTACTGAAGTTTGCAAAAATTGCTACAATTTTAAAATAAATAAATTCCTAATCGTAAAATCATTAGTTTTTAATAAATCTACAAATTTTGTAATTACTGGTTAGTTTAATTTTTTGATAATTATACAATTTTATATCACTTTTAATGATTTTATAAAAATTAACTCAATATATTTAAGCAATATAAACGGTAGAAAAATATATCTAAAACTATAATTTTAAATATATACATATATATTCTTAATATAATTTTAAATAAACAAAATTATTTTATCTTAATTTAATGTTTAACTAAATAAAATCTATATTAAAATAATGTAAGAAAATTAAAAAAAAAAATAGTATTAATCAAATTTATTATTAAATATAATTTAATGTTAAAATTGCTTTTTTTTTATTAAGAGACTGAACTAGAATTTTTTTTAACAACTGCATCTGGAGTTTTCTTTATCTGGTTATATATATATATATATATATATATATATAGTCCATTTTATATTAAGCACCATTTTAATTACAAATATCGTTTTATTTCAATGTATATGTCAATAAATTTTAAATTTAATGTATTAATTAGGATAAAATAGAAAAATTAATTAATCTTAATATATGCAAAAAAATCGTAAAAGTATTTTATTTGTTTGGAACAAATTTATGGAACAATGATGAGACTATTATTGAATCAAGTAAAGAAATCTTATGGATAGACATGCAATTAGTCAACCTCCAGAAACATTCCACGTGGACTGTATTCATTAACCGACCAAACCAGTTTCAATGAATCTTCTTCATAAACTCAAGACTTGTCAAACTTGTCTAACTCTTTCTAGACCTATCTAGCTTTTCCATCTCGTTCCCAACTATATATATACTTTAATCTACCGTTCTCTTCTCACCAAGAAACAAACATATACAATCTGTCAAAAGCTTACAAGAAACTTGATCAAGACAGTAAAACATAATTTCAAGAACGATGATGATGTCGAACTTTAGCCCCTTCGATGCTCTTTTCGCTGAATCAAACGGCTTCAAGATGAAGTTTCCAGGCGGCCAGAAACAGAGCTCCGGCGGTAATCAGTCGCCGGTGACGGAGGAGCAGAAGAGCTACGGGAGGATTCCGGTTTCATCAGACGGTGAAAAAACTAAAAAGGAGAAGAAGAAGATTCAACCGATGAGGATAGCTCCAGAGCTAGACGGTGTTCATTGTTTTGAAACAATACTTCCTTTGTAATGATCATAAATTAATCTTTTCTATTTTTTATTGATTACTTGTAAACATACTTCTTTGTATAAAAAACTAATCTGGAATGGTCTCTGGATTATTATTTTCAATCTATAAAGAAGCAGTTTGACTTTGACTTGCTGTTGTTCCTTGGAGCTCACGTTTTCTTCCACAAAACCTCTTCCCAAACCCTAAAAGAACTGCAGGAGGAACCAACCCCCCTCCTCCACTCAAAGTGCAAGCAATCGCAACAGCTCCACCGATTATCAACAGCTTCTTGAAATTCTCAGCTCCATCTCCATTTTCTTGGTTCAAAGTAACCGGAGTTTCAGTGACAGGCGATGCACCATTGGCAAGCAAAACGAGTTGTTCTGATGTGATCTTGGTGTTGATCTGAGCCATGAGAGCAGGCCGAGAAAGCTTGTATCCTCCTCCTCCTCCTTCACCTGAGAGTCTTTGCTCTTGGTAAGCACGTAAACCAGGTTCCATCTTCTTCACTGCTCCCCACATTCCTCGTTTCACTCCGAGCTTTGCGATCTCCCTTGGTATCCCCATGTCTTCATGGTGAAACAAAATCACTTCACATGCACTTGTTACTCCATCGTCTCTTCTTGACTCCACTGCATGAAGTAACATATAACATCATTATGTTATGTTATTTTTGTCCTAGAACTATTACAAAGTGGTTGATGTAGGTTTTTTACCTGGTCGAATGCACCAGCTAGAGTAGAACAAGTCTACACGTTTTTGTTTGTTGTTATGTGGTATAGAAGGAACAGATACTCCCTGAAGCAAGAACAAGAGATGATCATTAGAGTGTAATTAAAACAATTGTTACACTTATACTCTATGCTATCCAATACCTTTGTAACACAGTAATAAGTTTCGCCACAGTTCCATATCCTCCGACCAATCACATACTCTCTATCACTGCAGAAAAATGGGAACTGCAACATATCAAAGAATAAAGTCAAACACACAAAGTGAGAAAAGTAAAATCAAGAACTGATCATCTAGGGAGAGTTTAAACCTTGCGTAACCATCTAACAATCATGGATCCAGTACTTGTACACTCTTCAACAGTGGTAGAACTAGAAAGCATTGTATCCCAAGTTGGTCTAAACTCATCATCCCAGAAAAAATCTCTTACAATCTCAGAAGTTGAATCTTCAAACACAGTTCTACTTCTATACTCAGTAGGACCATTCTAAAACAACACAAGACAAAACTGTGAGTAACCCATCTATCCTCTGTCTCTGACAAAACCAAGAACAAGTGTTTGTTGTTACCTTAGGTTCTCTTAACCAAGCTTGATATCTCATACCAGGAATAAACTGATCCATCATCTGAACCCAAGCAGGACCACCATCTTTCCTCTCAACCAGTTGCACAAGATGTCTCAAATCCAGCTCTGTTACAGTATTAGGCAACCTCTCCTCTGTTTTCTTCCCTCTAACAAAAAAAGGAAAACTAAAATTAACAGACAAACACAAATTTTATTTTCATAAGTTAATCCCAAACTTAAGCTTACCCATCAAGTACATGTACTTGTTGAGAAGAAGAAACAGGAGAAACTGTTTTATGTTGTCTAGGAGCAGAGCATTGTAGCTTGACTTTGTCTTCACTAGAAGAAGAAACCCATCTGGGTTTCCAAGCCCATCCTATGAGCAAACCAACAACGAAAGCTAACCCTAAGATGATGGTCACGAGCAAAGCCATAGTCTCTGAAATAAAGAAGAAAGAGTTCAAAAAGAATATGGTTTTGGAAAAAAGAGAACTTTGTTGGATAAATATAAAAAATGCGAGTGAGGAAAACGACAGAGGAAGGAATACGAGTGGTGAGAAGAAGTGGAAGAAACTTGTGGTTAAAGGGGTTATAGTGTATATTATAGAGATGGACTTTCTTCTTTAAGCTCAAACAATCATTGAGGGAAGTTGAAAGGGGATTGCTTTTTTAGAGGAGAATGGTGGACGGAGCAGTGTGAAAAGACGACCACCGTCCATATCTCCGACCAATTCTGTAATTTCTGAAAGTACTTCTTTTAGGTTTATTTTTCTTTCCTCGTTTAAATCGTGGGGGTCGTTCTTTACCATTTTTATATTGTAAATCTGGACTATGGAATTTTCTTCATTGGCATTATTGAGTTTTTGGATAAGTAAAGTTTTCTTAAGTTTGACTTTGTTTGGTTAAGAAAAGTTTTGGATCCATTTAGAATTTGCAAGTGTTTCGGTTCCATTTTAAATCGGTTTTTAATTGATTTTCGCTTTTTGTAGATTGGTTTCGTTTAAACTGTTGTTTATATGATTAGCTTCATCTAAATATCTAAAATATATTTGAAATTCAAAAATATATATGAAGGAAACTAAGAAAATATGATTTTCTTTTTGTCAACACTAAGAAAATATATTTTAAATCCAAAATTACGTTCATAACAATTAAACATAATTAATACATATAACTTTTATATTATTCAGATACCTGATAAGAACTATACTTGAACTGAGATCAACACACATCATATGGACAACATGGTAAAATACACTTGATCCAAACAATTTTTTGAATCAGTTTGGTTCTATCATTGTTGGGGTGGTAGGGGGCGATCTGAAAACTATGATACAAAAAGTGTGCTCTGAAGTGTTATGGACACTCTCATCTCGCGATAAAATGGTCACTGAAACGATTATGAATTGAAAACCAAAAACTTGTATTCAATTGATTTTTACATGTATAGAAGGTCAAATGGAAAAATACAAAATGTGTATGCAAAAAATTGCAATAAGAACAAAGACAAACTCTACACACAAACTTCAGCTTGAATAATACATCAAACACTGCTGTATATGAATTTTCTTTTTCCAGCTATCTGATTCTTCACATAAAAATAATTATATATGTATTTGCTAAAGATTTGAATTTTAGAGATAACAAATAAAGAAAAAAATAAATAAAAGAGGCGTGGGAAAAAGAAAAAAAAAAGAGGTAAGTGGAAGAACTAACCTTCTCTCAAACTATACACTTTTGAGTAGAGATGGTTTTTACTTGAGTGGAAAAAAAAATCACTTTTCACCTCGGCTTTATAGACGAACCGGTAATCCAAAATTCTGAAATGTTCTGATTTCACCTCGTAAACCACCGGTCACGATCACCATAGACCAAGCAGAAGCATTCGGTTTTGTGTTAACCGGTCCATTCGACAAATCCACGCTCACGCTAGGACTAGTTCGTGCTCGGTTCTTTGCAGCCATCAAAAGTTTCTCATCGGGCCATGTCGCTGAGATTCTATCGAAGAAGTAACGGTTTGTGGCGCTCGAAATGATACCGTTGGTGACGGCTGTGTTGCTGATTGGATCGTTGACAGGAGTTGGAGGGTTATTGGCTGTGAAAGGCGATTCTTCGGAGCTGTTGTTGTTACTGATTTTGCCAGGCCAAGGTGCAGCCACAGAGACGTCTCGACAGTAAAAGTGTTCGTAAGAGTTTGTGACTGTTGCACGTTTGGTTTTTCCAGCTCGGGTCTCTGAGTCGTAGTTCCATACATACACATTAGAGTCTTCGCTCGCTGAGACTAAGAATTTTCCGTTTGGTGTAAGTGAGGCCGAGATTTGGCTATTAGTGTTGCGGAATCCTGAAAAAAAACAAACAGAGAAACACAAGAACGTTGAGCTTTATCCATTTTCGAGACAATGTGTAAGAACATCATCAATTTTGCTTACCTTTAAACTTGTGAACAAGGTCAACACCGTCAACCACACGCGCACGTGAATCTGCAGATGTGACAAGCACTTCCGATGAACTTCCCGCCACAAACTGGCTCATGAGCATCCGATATTAGTAAGAATAAATAAAAAAAATAACAGAACCATAACGGTGTTAGCTTGTTGTTTTAGCATTTACCTGAAAACCAGTGATTTTCTTGTGATTGGATTTCTTTTTCTTGTTCTTCAGATTGACATCCTTTCTCTGCTGCAGTTTGTTATCTAGAAAACCACAAAAAAAAAAAAACTAAATTCCAAGGACGAACGGAGAAACTATTTAGACATCAAAGGAAGAGATAAGTGAGTTTATATACCATTTGTGTTGTATAAGCAACAAGTCCCCTTGTATGAACCAACCAATGCACCCTTTAACAAACCAAGATAGCTTCATTACGGTACTTGTGCGGTTTAATTTTACCCGAACTCACTTTGTTGCTTAGATGGAAACGTACCTGACCATCCGGTGTATAGCAGGCAGCTGTGACCATCTCATGAAGATCCTTCCAATCAACAACTTGATGATCAGGAATGCTCCATATTCGAACTTTTTTATCCAACGATCCACTGATGAAGTAATTGTCGTCCACAGGATTAAACTGGATGCACGTCACTGTGTCAACGAAACAAAAAAGAAGCTAGATGAGTAAAATCATATCTTACTTGGCAGACTTATATTGTTATCTCTTATTCTTGTGTTCACATATGAATCTTTCCAGAATCAGAGTTGACACTTAAGCAGCTTATTTGTTCCCCTTGCAATTTATGCTTAGTTTCCTAGAGACTATGAGCACAAGTAAATCACTGTCACTGATAGGGAACAAGAGAGTATATTCACTCACCGTAGTCACTATGCGAGAAGACTTTCAAACATGTCTTGCTACATAAATCCCATAGACGAACTGTCTTGTCCATAGAAGAGGAAAGCAGGTGCTACAATTCACATGACAATTCAGAAGGCCTACATTTAGTACTAGCAAGTCAAAAAAATATATGCATACAAAAGTTAGCAAAATGAGATGCTCAGGAGTAGCACCAACCTGAGATTTCGACCAGGAAAGGTCAAGCACATCATCCGAATGCCCTACAAAAGAGCACATGGGAATCTCCGAAAGACCAAAGACTGTTTCTGGAACCAGAACATTGTCAAGACTCACTGATTTTCTACTAAAAGATGTTCTTCCTCTTCTCATTGGAGACATTGATGAAGCTGGTTCTGGAGACCCATTTGCCAATACAGACAAATTCATACCTCCATCATCTTGTTTATCCACCAACAAGAGCTCCCCTTTCCTTTCTGATTCAACAACCTCCCAAATCTGAATAACACAATCCTCACCAGCACTAGCAAGAAACCTCCCATCCAAACTAAACTCAATACTCCAAATCGACCCTTTATGAGCCTCAATCTCTTGACACTTGAAAAGCCCCGTGAGCTCTTTACACGACTTCCCATACTGCCTAACCTTAACTCTCTCCGGATCCTGAAACGACATCTCTCTGCTATCATCAGTTGCAGAGCTAAGCCTCTGCCCTCCTCCTCCTCCTCCTCTCTCGGACGGCGAATCCCTATCATCAGTACTTCTTCTCTCCTTATACCCTGTCACGCTACTAGCAACGTTCTTTATACTCTTAAACCAACTCCCTTTCCGTCTATGCTTAGTTCCACTCACACTAGTACTCAAATCCACAGAGTCTTTACAAACATCTTCCCCGCTCTGCCTCCTCATCAGCTCTAGAACTATGGGCGATGTCCCCGCACAGATCTCAAACTCCTCTAGAGTCAATTGCCGATCAGTACCTACCTCCTTCAACTTCTCCAACACTCCGTCTTCTCTCACTTCGTTCACCACAAACTCTTTCCCGTTATCTAGATTCTTAATGATGCACATCTGATCCTTGTTGTCTCTAATCGGTTCTTTGTTTACCAAATCAATAACCACATTGTCACCATTGTTGCTACTACTACGCGTAGTAGTATACTGTACAATATTACCATTATCCACTGATCTCAGCGAAGAAACACCTGATTTACAGTGATTCGATCTAGCGAAATGAGAGCTGCTGCTGCGGATACCTTTTCTACGGGCTGGAGCGAGATCCGGCTCGTTGCTGAGTCCTAATCCGCGAAGAAGTCTGATTCGTCTCTGGGAGACGGATTCGGGCTCGGATTTCCAGAGATCGAATCCGGAGGGGAGGGGGAACGGATTCGGATCGTGGATCGGGTCGGAGTCGTAGTCGGAGTTTGAAGTGGAGCAAGAGCAGGAAGAGAGAACGCGATCGAGAGACTCGAAGAAACATTCGTCTTCGTCCTCTTCCTCTTCTTTGTTTGTTACGAATCTAGCGACGTCGTTTCGTCCAGTCATAATCACCATTTTCATCATGGTTGTTTAGAAGCTTACATGATGGAGCAGAGGAAGATATGCCTTCCTCCGTCTCCCCTCCCCACCCCCACTCGATTCGTTGACTTGTGTTGAGTTAGGATTTGAGAGAATCAAAACGGCGTCGGCGGATGGGAGGTTAGTTGAGTAGAGCTCTCTAGTCAGATCGGAGTAGTAATGGAGAGAAAAAATAGTTTGGTGTTTATTGTCCTGCCAGAGAGAGAGGGGACGCACCGCAACGATTTTAATTAAATTCGATCTTTTTTTTTTCTTTTTTATTAAAATTTTGCATTTTCGTTCTTTTTATTCAACTGAAGCAAAAACAAATTAAAAGCTTTGTATGTTATGAAGTGAACGTTGTGTTAGAATTTATTACCATTGTTGTATATCCAACTAACATTTAAGTAGATTGTGGTGCAAAGCGAGGCATAGAGCTGTATATGCGATGGGAACATACATTGTTTATGATTTACGTTATCACAGGCGCATTGAGCCTTTGGTGTCACAATAAGTAGTGATGTTGCCCTACATGTGTGACAATGTTCTTGATATTTTAGATAAGTGAAATTTGGATTAAAGAAATTTTATCTCATAATATCTCAAGGAGTGAGAAGATTCGGGCATTCGGACTTCACTATAATTTTATGTAGTTTTTTATTTAATTTAGTTTTATCTTTTGCCGCACCTAAACTGACTATTTAAACTTATATCACTCATACAAGAAAACTAAATGTTGCTAAAATACTTGATGGCTGTTCTGATATGATGTTGCAAGTCATTGCGCATAAAAAAAATGGTTCAGTTAACTTCTAATCCAGACAAAATTATATGAACATTATGTGAGTTAAGGTATCAGGGAAAAATTTGGTCCAGTTAACTTCTTTTGCTATGTACCATATGTTATATATAGAGAAAGTTAACTGAATCAAAATTTTCCCTTATATCTTAACTCACAGAATGTCCATATAATTTAGTACTAGATTTTGACCCGCGCTTAAGAAGCGCGGGTTTTTTTTTTGTTAACCGTAAAGCCAAATATTTCGGAATAGATATTTTGATTGGTTTTGATGGTGTTTTCAAATTTGATTGAGTTGATGGTAAAATGGGTTCGAGATACCTTGTATTTATAAAATGAGAGGGTTGTTGTTCTATTATTTTATTTCAGTCTTGTAAAATTAATAAAATGAATATGGTAAAAAGATCTTAAAATCAAAAGATTGTTATTAACCCATTGAGAAGCATGGATTCTATTTTTTGATTATACACAAATGGGTTCTTAATTTTTTAAATTAG